AGTTACAATAATAACCCTGAAACTAAGATCAACTGCGATCGGCTGTGAAAATTACCTGCTGAAAATAAGCTTGTAAGTTTGTTTGTCCGAATTTCGCCTTTGTCTTCGTTTTTATGACGTCCCGACTGCGCTGCGCTATTGATCTCGGATCGAATTCCAAAATATATAAAAAATGAATGTCCTGGAAACACTTCAGTTTATAGTTTTGGTTTTTCATAATTTTGTTCTTCAAGTACCTTGAATTACCTGAATTTAAAAGACTTTAGCAATATAATTCAAGCAGCCTATCATCAAAAGTATATACATAAATAGTCTTTATGGTGGTGTTTTATTTTATCTGGATAGTAAGGGTGGCGAGAAAACGAACTGTAACTTTTGTCCCTAGTCGGCCCCTGTTCCGCCATTTTGAAAATCTTCGATATACAAATTTATTCATATGACGTCATTAGCAGGGTAGCATTAAAACATCTGGTCGTACAAGATGAAAACAAAATGTATTGCCCGGATTACGGCTCCATAGTCTTACATAAAAGGATACTAGAAACTAATTTTTTACGTTCACTTTCTCCAAAAACTAGTCCGAAAATCAAGGTCTGCTTTCATTCTACCCTGCTAATGACGTCATATGGAAGTTAATTGTTTCAACAGACTATTCAAGATGACTATATCGGTTTCTTCACGAAATAATAGCATATATAATGTTGCACTATAGTGTGAGCCTTAAACAGACTGTGTTTTTCTATGTTGCCAATGTCCTTTAAATGAGCAAAAGTGAAAACATCTACAAAAAAGATACACCTACTTGCAAGAACGTTGTCRTACGAAWATWGAACATTAGTGATTTAGTGGGATAAGAATTATATTAAAAAACAAAAGAAGATAACTGAAGCTGAACTTTTTCTTTTGTCTTTTAATGTATCATTTCTCACTAAACTACTAATATTCTAATATCGTATGACAACATACTTGCAAGTAGGTGTATATTAAGGTCATCTTTAGCAAGATTAGGATTAAACCAAAATAATCAACTTTTTTAGTTCCTGTTAAATCAACCTGGAACATCAGCGCCAAGAGTGACAGATCATCCACCATCAACGTCCAGTGGTCTGAATATCCTCTCTCAAGTAATATAGCAGCATCAACCCAAGTAGTGTCATACGTGGCTGTTTGTATTGCTGTCAAGAACCACACTGACATATCTGTAGCGAGCCCTGATGGTCAAGGCAGAAGTGTGAACGTCACTCATCTTAGGAGTAACACTGAATACTACGTACAAGTGATTGCAGTTTTAGGCAACTCGAGTAACACTACAAGTGCAAATGAAACCACGTTTCAAAGAAGTGAAAATATCACCGTGAGAACAATGGAAGAGGGTAACAAGGATTGTTTGTTTTTACATTGAATAGATGGACGAGTGCACATAGATATTTGGGGGGACCATTTTGAAAGAATTTTACACTCGCTATCAGCACTAGCTTGAAGCGATAGATAAAATTGAAAGAAAAAATCGTAGATTAAGATGCACAGAAATACTCCAGTTTCGAGTTGTTTGTTGTTCAGGGTTAGCCTCTACTTCGTGTAGAATACTCATGTGTCGACCCAGTAAAGGTCTGCTGAATTTCAAAAAGTTTGTTTTGTTAGAAGTTGTGCATTCTTTACTTTTCTGTTGGTATTTGTGAATATTTAAACAGGGCTAACCCTGAGTAAATGAGTCTGTAATCAAAGAACACAGCAGTAATTTGGAACTCGAAAAAGGTAAATTGGCCGGGATGGCGTAATGGGGTAAAGTCATTAAGAAAATCTTCTAAAACTCTTGAATAGCAGTTATTAAAATAATGACGATGGTATGTTGATAAGAGGATGTGATGGAGATGATAATGATGATGGCGTCGACTAAAGATTATTGCGAGGGTTATACTGATTAAGAAGATGATGCTGATGATTTCTGAGTTTCTATTTTCTTCTTAGTTCCTAGTCAACCACCCGTAAACATTGTCGCACAAGTTAAGACCTCAGACAACATCTTGGTCAAGTGGGATCCTATTCCTAGTGAATATGCACATGGAATACTACTGGGATATCATGTATATTACACACCTACTTTGTCGTCGAATACCAGCCACGAGAGAATGGAATTTGTAGATGCAAATAGAACGTCTGTTACGTTGCAGAATCTTGGCTTTCTTACTGAATACCGCATTAGAGTGGCTGGTGTCAATCAGGCTGGCGAAGGACCAAGAAGTAGGGCTGTGTTTGTGAGGACAGGTAAAAGAGTAGTTTTTTGAGCTTGAAATTAAGGGACTGGTTTAAAAAATTGGTGAATAATTAAGAACATACCCAGGAAACAACTTTTTTGGAAGCAGAATTTGAATTTAAATATCTAACATTTTTTTACAGGTCTTGATTGTGATAAGAATCTCTATGGAAAGCATGGTCATTTTTCAAGTCCAAATTTTCCAAGTAACTATCCAAGTGATGCTAACTGTGCATGGACCATAGGAAAAGGAATGAAATTTAATATGATTATAATATTGTTCGACTTATTTGAGTTAGAAGAAGAAACTTATGGCATGTGCAGGTAATTATTTAAAGTTAGGAATCATTATTATGAATGGCATTTGTTTTCCATATTCGAATCCTATCAGAATCCCACATGCATAACTGCTTGTTTTTCTCTGTTTCTTTTTAAATTCCTTGCATGCATGCATTCACTTCTCTTACTCAGCTGACTACCCACTACGCACGTGCGATTGTTTTTTTTTTATCAGGTCAGCGGACCTTCATTAGTTTTCATCTAAAGGAGTATTTAAAAATTGCTCTTCTCTTCCTGCCTTTTTGCAGCAATGACCATGTCAGGATAGTGGATATCAAAGGAAATGCACTAGGAAAGGGAAAGTATTGCGGCAAGACGAATCCGTTTGCTGTTGTATCGCCGCTGCGATCTGCAGAAGTCATACTGTATTCAGATCGAGCATTTGAAAAGATAGGCTTCAATGGAACGTACTATGTGATAGATAAACGTTCTAACGGTGAGTGTCAAAGATTAGAATTATATTTCGCATTATAGAATGCGATATGTTCAGAGATCATTACAACAATGGGCTCAGTGTTGAACATAGGAACTCCATGAGATATGTATTTATTAAGACACGCTACGGTGATTCTTATTTACAAATACAAAATGGATCCAATGTTAAACTCTGTGGAACTCCGTAAGACAAGCAAGAAAAGATGAATCTTATTTACAAATTCAGTGAAGGGTCCAGCGTTGAACTCTGTGGAACTCCATAACATATGTAAGATATGATGATGATTTTTATTACTTATAAATGACAGACATCGACCTGAAAGTGAAATCTGTGACCACCACGGAGTTGATGCTGGATATTAAAGACCTTGGAGTCAAATTTACTGAGCTCTTGGTTATATACAAAGAAAAGGAGGGCAAAAAGACTTGGAAAGTTTCCACAACATCCTCGTCTAGTTTCTTCATCCAAGGACTTCTTCCGTCCAAAAAATATCAAGCGAGAGCATTAGGTTACTCTAATGGAAGGGTGTACAAGAGCCAATTAGTAACAATTGTAACTAAACAACGTAAGTGTTCAAAAATATTTAAATATTTAATAAGGCACTGAAAATATATTTTATATCTTCATTTTTGATCTATTAGTTCAATGTACTTAGATTGGAAATTGTATTGGTTAACGTTTGTACACTATAGTTGCTCTAAACATTTTAGGAACATTTTTGACGTTTTTTTCTTCAAGTACCAATTACATCTCCTACAGAGAAGACCACTCCACCAACAACAGGCACGTGATTACGTCAATAAACCATTAACATATCAAACAATTGTTGTCATTCGCGGGCTTCCTGTGGTGACAAACCACGCTCCCCTCCCCTACATAATTTCCAGTCTTTTTTCGGCCAAAACCAAGATGGCTGACTAGTTAGTGATGTTTTCACTCGATTTACTGTAAATTTGAGCAGTTTTGAGCAAGAAATTCGCCTATTTAGTGAAGAAAATTATATTCCAATTTCCTAATATGGTAAGTACATTCCATATATGGTAAAAGAAACAGCTCGAGCGGAACGACAACTTTTCTATGTGGAAAGTTTGATATGTTTAATTAGTTAATGTTTCAGTGTATCGGTTTAGGTAGATGGCGGACCTTTTGAACTTTGTTTGCTTTATTCATTATTTTCGGTACTCCGATTAAATTCCTGGTCACCTTGTGCTTCTGAAGCCGGAGTTAACACCGGGCATGATAACCTTTTGGCTCGATAATTTGCCTTACCTTAGCATAGCGAAAACCCGGCCGCCCACTTTCATGGGTGCCATAAGCCTTTTCATAATTTAAGAATCGATTCCACTGCGCATGCGATTTTATCCCCAATTTCTCACCTTCTTTTGTTTAATTAAGAACAAAAGAAGGTTTAGACAAAAGAAGGTGAGAAATTCGTTAACTATTGTAGTTAACTAAAATTCTATTTTTCCCCTTTTTTATCCAGAACCACTCAAGCAGATGTACGATTATGGACCTTCTACGGGAGACAGCGTCGTTCCACATACATGGGGAGAGTTACAAAAATGCTTTGGGGTTCATCTCAACGACGGGGTTACTATATTCATGAAACGCTATCACAAGCTTTATGTAAGTCATTACACAATTAAATGGTAATGGGAACTCAGTCTAAGAGCGTTTTCTTTTTATTCCTTAGATTTGTCATAACGGAGTAATTCGCTTTGGAGCACACTTTTTCCCTCGCTGGCCTAAGCCATTCAGCAGAAGTACCGAAGGTTGTAAACACGAGCTTGCAATGTTGGCACCATACTGGGCAACCACAGATCCATATTCCTTCTATCAACCAAAGATCTCTGCCGTTTACTACCAGTTGTACACTTCATCTCAACAAAATGCAAAGTCCAATCAAGTATTAAACCGGGCCACGTCAGAGGTCAACAGACTTTACAAAGACCCTCTACCGGAGGAATTCCAAGCTTCACTTGTTTTGGTCGTCACGTGGTATAATCTTCGCCACTTAAACTTGAATTCTGAAACTCGGGATTTGGTAAGCCTGGCTGTTAATATTCTAACTTAATAAATTCAAATTGAAATAAAAAATAGATCTAGACCTTGAGACTCTACTGGATATATGCCGAGTCCTTCTGAATTTTAATGAAAATCCTTAGCAGTGTTGGAACTGATCTATGATCTATGATTTTTCTTCAGTGTCATTCATAACTCAACCATTTGAATCAAAAGATTTGTAGTTTGTGTGGCATCGACCTTTTTATTATACTGATATATGACGTACTTTCATTTTTCTTGTAGTACAACACCTTCCAGGCTGTGATCATCACAGATGGTGTCTACACCTTTGCGATGTATAACTACCCACCTAACGGCATTCAGTGGTCAGCGCCAATTGCAAGGTTGGACAAAAAACACTTAAAACTATTGTGAAAGTGAAGCTAACAGGCAGATGCAATAGAAAGTAGACTTTCCCATTGGATTTTGTAATTTCCTGTTAGGGTGTCGCAAGAGTGTCTTTATCAAATCTTTGTACTATTAGATCCTTTTCTTGATATCCACGTGTCTCAGTTCTCAAGTTTAGTGGTCGAGAATATGTACTCATTGACTGAGTTAGGTCGGGCCGTACGGGAAAATATTTGGCTCGAGGTGATGCCGTACAAATGACCGAGAGGCAAATATTTTTTTCGTACGGCCCGACCTAACTCAGTCAATAAGCATTTTATCATATGACCCTCTCGAAAAGAAAAATACGGTCGCAAGTTTCGAGCAGGGCCGTACGATTAAAGCGCGCGCCCGGGCAGATAAGGGTCATATGATAAACGTAGTTGTCAAGAAATGGTAGGAGATGGGAAATTACTCGTACAAATTTGTGAATGAATTGTAACATGAATGGATGAATCAAGTTGAGATTGGGAACGAACACAGAAGTGTGCTCTTGACGAGAGCCTTAGCTATAGTTATATGTTTGCAGATTGGATGTCTGAACAGTACCTTAATATATGATTTAAAGCTTTTAGTAAAAATACACAGGTAATTATTGAAAATCTCGCACGCTGATTGGTCGAGAAACTCACACTATCACACGATAATCGCCTCCAGCGATAATCCAAAATGGCGGCCAGCCGCTTCGTTGCTATTATCGGAAACAAATGTCTTTTATCCTCTTTTTTTTCTTTTTTTGAAAGAATCAACTGTGTATTTATACTAAAACAATTATTTGCCTCAGCCTCAGTGAATATCGGAGAATATTTACCTCACCGCTCGAAGACTCGCGTCTCGGTAAATATTCCCCGATATTCACTTCGCCTTTGGCGAATAATTGTTAAATACTGCATGACTGTAAATAAATTTGCGAATAATTTTCAGTGCTAAATGGCCTCTGTACACCAAGGGAAATCGAGTCAATGATCCTCTTCCGGTCGTCGGCTGGAGTGCTGGATGCGATCAGTACGAATATTTCAATGTGTCAAGGTACCTATCTAAAGATTAACAAAATAATGTCAATGTAAACGCTTATTCTTACTATGTATTCTAATCTTTTCAGTATTTATCTACCGTTAGGTCTGGAGAGGTGACGATTGGAGATATAGGTACAATGCCTGGGCAAACTGTGTCTAGAAAACGTGGAGGAGGAGGAGGAAGGTTTAAAAAAATAAACCACGGTGTCCAGGGAAAATGGCTATTCCGATTGGAAATGTCATCTGGTCAAAGTTCAGAGAGAAACTGTAAACTTCGGTTTAAAAGCGAACCAGATCCACGACCTTACCTAGAATACCTTGAACCTTGCCCTTGTACTTTCTTCCAAGCCCGATGGGACGAAAGATTCATGGTCCAAGACGACTGGCGAGACAAATCCAGGGTTTGTGCCTATTCCACCTTCACTTCTATCGACGGTTGGCAACAGAAATGTTGTTACTTTAACGACTGGAGAAGCAATGGTGCGCTCATCGTAGGTCATCCAGGGGGAGGTAGTGCTCTCAGGGAAAAGTACGATAAAAACCCAATTTCCAATGAAAATAGATTCTACGAATGGTGTTGTGTACAAACCACAATGTGTCACCTTTACTACCAGAGAAGACCATCAGACGACTGCAAGCAATACGAACCACCTGAGTGGAGTAAGTAGTGGTGGTCAAAGAATGCAGTGTAAGCGTGTGCGCAGATGAGGAACCCGCAAAGCATGCTGCACTAAAGAATATTGTAGAAGCCAATCAAATCTCGTCTTTTCATACTCCTGCTTTCTCAACATATATCTAATATTGTCCGCTATCAATCGTAAACCATGTCAACATCCCTCATGAAAAACATATCAGTGAATCGTATGTAGACAGCATGAAAGCTAAGATTATGCTATAAATCTTCATTTTGTACTCAGTGAGTAACTTTAACGTGATGGTTTTGTCGTGTTCAGGTTGGTTTTGGGGCGACCCTCACTTTGTCACCCTTGATGGTAAAAACTACACATTTAACGGTCTTGGTGAATATGCGATGCTTGATGCAAAAGACGGCTTCGTTCAAGTTCAGGCAAGGACAAGACTCGCTAAAGGAGATGGAACTGCAACTGTATTTTGTGCTGTCGTGGCGCAGGAGAGAAATACGAGCAAAGTGCAAGTCAATTTAGAGAGAGAAGGTAGAAATATAATTCTTTACCTTGTACAGATGAACTATAGTTATTTACTTCAGATACATTTTTGCAGGTAACTTTACGCTTTTTGTCGATGGAGAGACCTTGGATTATTACAGCCTTACCAACCAATCGACCAGACTCAATGGCTCTGTCGTTGTCTCCCGTCCTAAAGATAACATATTCAGAGCAACTTTCCCATCTGGAATCTCACTTACTGTAACAGAAGTAAAGGGTGCCCTGTCCATCTTAATAGCAATGCCCAAGTCATTCAGGAACCAGACAAAAGGGTTGTTAGGAACCTGGAATGGGAACCAAACAGATGACCTGACAACACCCAGTGGAGATGTTTTACCAGCAGATGCAAGCAGTAGGGATATTCACTTTCAGTTTGGACAGAAATGTAAGATATATCTTGTAGTTCAGTTCAGTTTAAAGTTAATGTTTTGACACTTTTAATAACAATTCTTACTGTATCTCAATATTTCTTTACTTTTGAAAAACAGGGCAAGTAAACGAGAGTACTTCGCTTTTTACCTACCAGTTCGGCGACAACGTCTCCACCTTTTCAAACACTTCTTTCGTGCCCATGTTCATAGACGAACTGAAATTCTACAATGAATCTCTGAAGAAAAAAGCTGAAGCTGCTTGCCAAGGTGACATCAACTGCTTGTTTGATTCTGCTTCAACCAAGGACGTGTCTGTTGGATTAAGTACGAAGATTGTTGGGTCCCAAATGGTCAACGAATCCAACATACTGAGTAAGTTGTTATACCTTTTATGTTGAAACATAAATGCTATTAAGTTTTTGGCATAATGTTCTGTTTTATCATAGTCAATTTTGGATATCCTTATAATGGTCCTAGACGGAACACAGTGGGGCTTTTGGCGCTTAATCGTCGAGTTGGGACTCTGAAGTGCCACTTTGGTTAGGCGGCAGTCGGAGTACCATATAAACAGGAATTACAACACTATAGAGTAAATTTGTACTGAATTCTTTTTTCACCACCAGAAAACTCTCCTCCTGAGTTCGACAACACGTCATCCGTTCTTTACCTTACTGTGAACGTTTCAAACAGTGTCACTTTCACGGCCAACGACCTGGATGGAGATAGAATAAGATTCAACATAACAGGACCTCCAGAGGATGCAACTGTTTGGACTAACGAATCTTCGATAACCATGGAATGGATGGTTACCACAAATTCGGTAAAATACCAAAGAAAATGTTGAACTTTCTCTGTGGAAAAACTTTCTCTGTAGTTGACGCTAAGCTTCAACTGAACATTGCCATTTTTTTAATCAGGTAAAGTTGGAAATAATCGCCACAGACAACAAGGGCGCTACTTCTGTATTGAGGCCGGTGCTGCACGTCTGCGCATGTCACAATAATGGTGACTGCTTGACAAGCAACCAAGAAGAAGAGAATCGTAATAATAGTCGTTTTAGCATCATGTCTTGTCAGTGTCCAAGTGGTTACACGGGTCGATTCTGTGAGAGTGATATTGATGCATGTGAGGTCAATATGAACCCATGTTACCCTGGAGTACAGTGTAAGGACTTACCAGCTCCTGCTAATGTCACCGGATATGAATGTGGACCGTGCCCGTCTGGATTCTCAGGACAAGGAGATTCTTGCTCAGGTACCTGACTCAAAGTGCTAACATAATTTATTATACAATGGTTTTGAGTGATATATCATAGAGTAGCTCATGACGCACTTGTATTTTCTATCTAGATGTTTTAGGCCTCGTGGAATATTGTCGAATATACCACTGCTTCCATGCAATCTGATTAGTAGTATTATAAATGATGCACCAAGGAGTTTCCACAAATGTTATTTGCCAATTTATCTTCATTAATATTCTCATTTCTATATTTTTAATAGACATTGATGAATGTGATGGTTTTTCACAAACCTGTACCCAAATCTGTGCCAACACTCCTGGGTCATTCACGTGTGGTTGTAACGATGGTTATGTGCTAAATGGAGATGGCCGCACATGTGATGGCGAGTACTTCTTTATTATATTTTTTATAAATTGTTTCGTGCCTTCCTAATAACCGCTATGGTACTTTTTTGTAGACGTGAACGAGTGCGATCCAGCCAGTGACTGTATGCAAGGATGTGTGAATACTCCGGGTAGTTACAGATGTACCTGTGACAAGTACTTTACAGTAGATCCTACCAATCCCAAGAGATGCATACGTAAGTGATTGTAGTGGAATAGGGTGAATAGATATAGGGTAGTTACAGATTTAACTGTGACGAGTACTTTACAGTAGATCCTACCAATTCCAAGAGATGCATACGTAAGTGATTGTACTGGAATAGAGTGAATAGCTATAGGGTAGTTACAGATGTACCTGTGACGAGTACTTTACAGTAGATCCTACCAATCCCAAGAGATGCATAATATGTGATTGCACTGGAATAAAGTGAATAGCTATAGGGTAAATACAGATGTACATGTGACAAGTACTTTACAGCAGATCCTACCAATCCCAAGACATGCATACATATGTGATTGTACTGGAATAAAGTGAATAGCTGTAGGTAGTAACCTTCACAGGGCCTTACTGGGAAAAAACTACTTTGAAACATTGGCTCCCTGTAATACGTAATGAGGTATGTCTTGTTTTTTTTTTCCATAGCGGAAGCCCCCTGTAAGGATGGTAACCATCAATGTAAGCATATTTGTTACGTCTCCAACGGGACGGACCACTGTACATGTCGACCTGGATACGAACTTCAACATGACAATAAATCATGCTCAGGTAAAGTTAGTTAGAATTGTCACGCAAATCTTGCTCCCCTAAAAATTCTACTTGCGTGACAACACTAACGATGGCTACGTAAGTGTCTAAGGTATCGTGCGCTTGTATCTTTAAATTGCTTCCCAAGGATATTTTATCAGCCTTGAAGATGTTGTCTCACATTAATAACTTTTAACATCAATAACAGTCGTCATAGTCTGTTTCTATAACATCAATAATCATCATAGTCGGTGATCTAAAATTGTTGTTCTCACCCTTGATATTTTTCAGACATCGATGAATGCACAACAGGTAAGAATCGCTGTAATCAGGACTGTCGCAATACCATTGGTTGGTACGACTGTGAATGTCGTCCTGGATAGTAGTATAGGGAATGGGGGTTCTAGCGCAGTGACCACACGAGGATTTCCCGTTTAAAGTCACTAACCCGTGTTTGCGTAGCCCTCATTCCCTATGAGACCCCCAGGATTACCCGTGAGGGCAACAGCGCACTCGAAATATGTTAGTTTACGCCAGGATTACCCGTGAGGGCAACAGCGCACTCGAAATATGTTACTTTACGCCAGGATTACCCGTG